TCCTGCCTGGTTTCTGTGCAGCTGAAACTCTTGGAACCACCATGGCCAGGTACTCTTAAGTTCCTTTCAGCCTCAGTTCTGGCCTCCTTTGATGTTGTTGACAACAAAAACTAGAAACTATTTGACTGGTGGGAGGATGGGTATTTTTCTTTTTGTTCCTTTTTGAGATAGAGATCTCAGTATGCTGCTTAGGCTGGCATGGAACTTCTGCCTCAGCTACCAAGGTAAGTAACTGGAGGTGTGTACTACCATACCCACCTAAAAGCCTTTAAAAATGTAGGTACTAAGGAAACCCTTTCATTTTATTTTATTTTATTTTATTTTATTTTATTTTACTTTATTTTGTGAAGTACATCAAAATGCCATGTTTAACATTTTTTCTTTTATTTTTCCTTTTCTTTGCTGTTTTCTTGGTGGGAAGAACTGAGTCAACAAGCTCGTACTTCATTTACTAAGTATACTTTATTTACTGTATAGTAGGAACCGTCACAGATGGTTTACCAGTTCCTTCCCAACACTCCTATTTTGAAGCTAGACATGAAAACCAGGGCCTTATATTTCCTGCTTTTTATTATACTCAAAGAGCATGTGGGCAGGCTCCCTACCAGCTTCTTGGAGCCATGTGACTAAGTCCTAGCCAATAACAGATGAGCATGAAGGGTGTGCTTCTGAGATACGGTAGTCATTGGCAGGTGAGCCACCTCTGCATGCTTCCTCCCTATAATACTAGAGACCGTGTTTTCCAGATTGTGCACCTTTGGGATAAAGTTAGATTACTGACACGCATGAACAAGATTTGTCTATTGGTGGGGATGCTTTGGCTATGGTAGCTTAGTACCATGTCAGCTTGTCCAGACCATTAAGACATTCCTCTGAATTCTGTTCCTCTATGTTTCAGCTTAGGACAGGATACGAGAAATTTGTGTGCAGGATGGAGGGGTGGGAGGGAAGAGCTGGTCATAGGCTGTTCATGCACCACATTCTCAGTGACCTGTGATCTGCAATCCCACAGTCTTCCTTTAAGATTTCTTCACTTGACTCCTGGGTCTGATTGTGTTTCTGGCTCTTTGACAGGGTCTCCAACTAGAACACATGACACAAATGACAAGACACACCGACCCAGTGTGTACCGCATATCTCTTCTCCTTCTTGGTGATCCCACCTTGAGACCCAGCTCATGTTTTGAAGGCAATGGCTTCACTAAGAGTGCTTGCCCGGCCAGGCAATGACACAAAGCCAGTTCCTAGTTTAAAAAGCTCCTCAATACACTCTGGTTGGTCCCTATTCTTTAATCCCCCCCCCCACCCCTTTTTAAATTTCCATTTGAAACATTATTGGGACCAGGCAGCGGTGGTGCACACTTTTTTAATTGTAGCACTCAGGGGCCAGAGGCAGCTGGATCTCTGAGTTTGAGGTCAGCCTGGTTTAGAGAGTGAGTTCCAGGAAAGCCAGGGCTACACAGAGAAACCCTGTCCTGTCCCAAAAAGCCAAACCGAACAAAATGTTATTGGGGCAGGAGAAGTGACTTAGCAATTAAGAACGCTTGCTGCTCTTGCAGAGAACCTGGGTTCAGTCCTCAGCACCGGGGTGGTGGCTTACAACCATCTGTGACTTCAGTTCCAGGAGATCTTATGTCCTCTTCTGGCTCCTGGACACCAGACATGGAGTGTGCATACATACATACATGCAGACAAAATACATAAAATAATTTGTGTTCACATGTATATGGGTCTAGTGTAGGTCCTAGGACTGCAATCAGTTGTCAGGGTTCATGGCAAATGACTTTACCCACTGAGGTCATCTTAATGCCCCTATTTTTTTTTTCAAGACATAGTCTTGTGCAGCTGTGGCTAGCCTTGAACTCACAATGTAGGTGAGGGTATTCAGGATGGCTTTGGATTCCTTACCCTCCTGCTTCTGTCTCCCTAGTGCTGGGTTACGGGCATACACTGCTACACCCAACTTCTGACTGAGTTCTAGCTAACACACAAGATTAGGTTGCTGTCGTGGCACAGTAGATTCTAGACAACCTACAATTATGCTTTCATTTGCAGGTGTCCTATTTAACATGATAAGCTTAAAAAGTTTGAAAAATATTAATTTCAGTACATATTTGGGAGCAGATTGATAGAAATGTTTTTACTTATGTAGTTTAAAATGTATCTCCCTGGTACAGAAAAGATGGCTCTGTAGTTAAGAGTAGGCACTGTTCTTGCAGGGGACCTGAGTTCAGGTTCTATGTCAGGCTACACCTCTGGCCTCCACAGATGCCTGCACTTATGTGCACACAGACACATACTTACATACATAACTCACTGGTCAGCCTGATTAGGCACTGTCTTTCTCACAGTTATCTTTTCCCTGAATTTTATAGATAGATAAATAAAGATATATAATCTCATCCAATGGATAAAATATTTGAGTGTGTTGCTTTTAATCTGTCTTACTAATACTCTTTGCTAATGGTCTCAAAAGACATTAGTAGGAAATAAACTGAATCAAAAGCTCTGTATAATCATCACTTTATATTTGAATTTTTAAAATTCATTATGGATTAAAACACACTATTTTAGCCGGGCAGTGGTGGTGCACCCTTTTAATCCCAGCACTTGGGAGGCAGAGGCAGGTGGATTTCTGAGTTCGAGGCCAGCCTGGTCTACAGAGTGAGTTCCAGGACAGCCAGGGCTGCACAGAGAAACCCTGTCTCGAAAAACCAAAAACCAAAACAAAACAAAACACAACAAAAAAAACCAAAAAACAAACAAACAAACAAACAAACAAACACACTATTTTAAAATGCCACCCTATGAAAACCTTCCATAGAATCACAGGATAGGAAAGTGGCTGGGACAGGTTCAGTGAGTAAGAGTGCATTCTGTATAAAGCAAGAGGATTTGACATTGAGTCCCCAGCACCCCTGGAGAAGCCAGAGATGGCTGCACATACCTCAGGGTAGAAAGAGGCACACCCCAGGAGCTCACTGACCAGTCAGCTGGGGGTCAGACAGTAAGCTTCAGGTTTAGTGAGAGAACCTGTTAAGGAGGATACCTGATGTCTTCCCCTGGCTTCTATCTCTCTCTCCGTCTCCCTCTCCCTCTCCCTCTCTGTGTATGTGCATGCCCACACACTTGTACACATGTAAATATAGCACATACACAACAGATAAATAAAAATAAAAAGAGAAAAGTCATAAATTCTACCAAGACTTTGTGTTATTTTGATTGGCAGTGATCTTGTGGAGTCTATTGTTTAGATGAGTGGGCTCCCATGACCCCCAGCTATCCGCAGCTATGTACCATCTACTTCATAACAGCCTGGAAAGAACAAACATGACTTCATATAGTCTCTGAGGGTCAGGAATCCAACAGATGCAAGCCCTGTTCTCTGTTGAAGGAATGCAAGTTGGGCCTGGGAAGCTGGTAACTTACTGAGGTGCGCTGAACTGACCACTTCAGCAGGGCGTGGTGCTGATATTGAGAACGGGGTTAGGGGGAAGAGGAGAAAGACAGGAGGAGGGAGAGAGAGAATGAACACACATCAGACAGACAGACAGACAGAAAGGCAGGCAAGCAGGCAGACACCTGCCGCCCCCCACCCCCACCTCCCCCAGTCTGTAGGACATTTGCTGCTTGGGCCATCAAAGCAATAAGGAAAGAAGGTACAGCAGAGGTGGGACCAGGAGCCCCTTCATTCTGCCACATCCGTGTTCTCAGCTGCTGAAGTGAGGCATAGTCCGCATGCTCCAGCATCTCAAAGGATGGCAAGCATGGGTGAGCTTGGAGCCAACTGCCAACAGACACACGTATAGGTTACTGCAGACAGATGGACACATCTGACTATGGAGTGTGACGTCAGACCCCTGGCTGTTACCTTACACTGTGTGGTATGCGCTTTCTGCCACAGTTGTCTGGGGTATACACTCTGATGTTTGTCGAGGCCTCAGCATCAGGCTGAGAGTCATGGATCTGCACCTCTTCACTGTCAGCACGCCTTGCAAACCTTGGCCCAGAGCTGTCTGAAGCTCTGGACAGAAATTGCCTTATGACTTTCTTCTGCCTTTGTCTATGATCAGATCTGAACACCAGCTAGCACCAAGCCTGTAGCAGTAAGAATCCCTGCACACCCAGGTTCTTGTCTAAGGGGCCAGAGCAAGGAGGTCAGCCTTGGTTCAGCTTATATAAGACTTCTGTCATAAACATGCTTTTTTAATCCCTTTGAGCATTTGGAACCCAAGCCAATAATGTTAGTTTCCTTTTTCTTTTCAGGAGGCATATGATTTTAATTAAAGGACGGAAACTAAAGTTTTCTGATCCCAGGGGTTGCAAACTCAGATATCCTCAGGGATTTAGTATGTAAATGAAAAAAAAGCATGCAGATCGCTATAGTGTAAATGTGGCACCAAAGATTCGGAGTCCCCATTGTGAGGGTCAGGTCATGAGGGTTTTTACTCTCATCAATTATTTAACCCCGTCACAGACTAATGGGCTAATAAGGGAGTTGCTTGGCTATGGAGGGAGCTTTCTCTGGTTAGCTTGCTCTAGCATCTTGCCATGTGATGACCACTGCCTGCAATGACCCTGTGACAGGACCTGACCTATGACAAGCAGATACTGGTACCATGCTCTTGCTTGAACTAAAACAGTTTCTTTTTTTTTTTTCCTTCTCCCCCACCCCAAGACAGGGTTTCTCTGTGTAGCCCTGGTTGTCTTGGAATTCACTTGAATTCAGAGAGATGGCCTACTTCTGCCTCCCAAGTGCTGGGATTAAAGGCGTGCACACCACTGCCCAGCCTTAGTTTCTTTATATGTCATCTATTCTTACATATTCATTACAGCAGCAAGAAATGGACCGAAACACAGGTAACAGAGCAATGGTGGAATCTTACTTATATAAAGACACTTTCTGAAAGGAAGGTAGCAGATACTGAGCCACTGCATGCTGTCATCATATAGATCTAAAAGTCTGATGTTCTAATTTTTCAAGAGAAATTAAAACGCAGATTTTTAAATGTGAAGTTGAGATTTATTTTTTAACTCCGTGTTTCGAGGTCGGTGCATAGGCATGCAGTTGCCTGCAGGGACTACCAGAGGGCGTCAGTTCTTCCAGGACAGGAGTTCCGGGCAGCTGTGAGCTACCCACTGTGGGTGCTGGGAACTGAACTCAGGCCTGCAGGAGCAGAAAGCACTCTTAGCTACTGAGCCGGTCTCTTCAGTCCCCTTAAAGTGTGAAACTTTGAACTGACTGACTTTGGCAGTGCTATGGGTTGAACCCAGGGCCTTCAGGTTAGGGATACCATGGAGTTTTTTGTTTTGTCTTGTTTCTTTGTTTTGTGACAGTTTCTCTGTGTAACAGCCCTGGCTGTCCTAGAACTCCTTTTGCAGATCAGGTTGGCCTTGAACTCAGAGATCCACTTGCCTGTCTCCTGAGTGCTGGCATTAAAGGCGTGTGCTACTCAGTGTGTGACAATTTCTAAAACAATGAATATGGTAGTCTAGGCTAAGCACATGGGAGGTTCATACTCATCCTGTACCCCCTTCATGCTATGTCATATGAAAGGTGCTGGCATCTTCAAGATCTTGGCTGGCTGTTACATTGGTGAACTCCAAGGAACTAGTCTTTCAGTATTCATGGACCTTCCTGTACTCGCTATGGGCTTGGACATCTGACTTGCTTTGACCAGCAATCAGAGCTGGATAAACATTTGCTGATGGCTCTAGTCTTTTTTTCGAGCCACCCTCCAGAAGCTTGAGTGGCCCCAGAGGGATGAGATATCATTTTGAAGGTGTTCCCAGCTGATTACAGCCCCATGTGCAACCAACCTCAGCTTATATCACATTGGTCCAGATGAACTTGGTTAATTTACATAATTGTATAAAATAATAAACCATTGTTATTCTAAGCCACCACGCCTTGGGATGGATGGTTATGTTGCAATAGGTAACTGAAACAGAGGTGATTTAATCTAAACCTCCTCATTACACTTCTGACTGTCCCAAGTCCAGAAAGGGAAGAGAGTTTGGGGAAATCCAGACAGCAAGGTATTGGCAGTAACTCTAATTCTGGGCTTTTCCCAGCTGCTTTTCTTTCAATCTCTTGGTGAAAGACACTAGATAAAGATTCTAAAATGTCAAACTCTAAGTGCAGGGAATTTATACTGTGGTTTGGATGCATACAGATTACTGTAATGCCTTGCTGGTTGGGGAAAAAAAAGAGTTTTAAGTCATCCATTTCACAGGGGCAAAGAATTGAAACACACTTGAGAAGCAGGAAAGCAGTCTTTGCTACTGTGATGCCGGGTACAATGAGCCAGGACCACAAGATACTTGATAACAGCCAGAGCCTGGCTCTTACTGCCAGGTCTCCTGTGAAACAAACGACTTCACAGACCACCAACATTAGACAAGGCCATTCTGTGGCCTTATCTTATGGATCAAGACAGAAACAAGAGCACTCTACAATCATTTATGAATGCAGATAAAACACGAACATTGTCTAAGCCCCTGTCACACAGCTACAAGACTAAACACTTGAATCTGGCTAACATGAGAGGCTGTCACCAATCACTGGATTAATTTCAATCTAATGTAACTTCCCAAAAGATAAGAATGAAGTGTTCAATCTTTTTTTTTTTTTTTTTTGTTTTTTCAAGACAGGGTTTCTCTGTAGCCCTGGCTGTCCTGGAACTCACTCTGTAGAACAGGATGACCTTGAACTCAGAAATCCGCCTGCCTCTGCCTCCCAAGTGCTAGGATTAAAGGCATGCACCACCACTGCCCGTTTTGTTTTTTTTTTTCGGGACAGGGTTTCTCTGTAGCCCTGGCTGTCCTGGAACTCACTCTGTAGAACAGGATGACCTTGAACTCAGAAATCAGCCTGCCTCTGCCTCCCAAGTGCTAGGATTAAAGGCATGCACCACCACTGCCCAGCAAATCTTTTGTTTGTTTGTTTGTTTTTCGAGGCAGGGTTTCTCTGTGTAGCCCTGGCTGACCTGGAACTCACTCTGTAGACCAGGCTGGCCTTGAACTCAGAAATCAGCCTGTCTCTGCCTCCCAAGTGCTGGGATTAAAGGGGTGCGCCACCACCGCCCGGCAAAGTGTCCAATCTTATTACCCCCACTTCTTGGCAGTATCTGCTCCAGAGTCCCTTCAAATCCTTTTGTACATTACCTAAGGTCTCTTACAGAGACGTCCGTGATTCATCACAGTGTGTGTTCTCTTCTGCTTTAGAAATAAAACCACCTTGTTCAACTATCAGCGTGTTCCCGGGGGCTTTTGGTTCGAGGGCATTGACAGGCTTGGAGGTCACAAGGAGTTAGAGGAAGAGTTCACTGGAAGTCTCTAGATGTGTTTCTTCAATTTTTTTTTTTTGGGGGGGGGGGGACAGGGTTTCTCTGTAGCCCTGGCTGTCCTGGAACTCACTCTGTAGAACAGGATGACCTTGAACTCAGAAATCCGCCTGCCTCTGCGTCCCAAGTGCTGAGATTAAAGGCGTGCGCCACCACTGTCTGGCTTCTTCATAGCATTTCTAACTCTTGGTTAATGTCTACTTAATTCCCATTAGAATTAAGCTTCACGAGAACAGAAGTCTCGTCTGTCATTCCCAGGCTTAGGGCAGTACTAGTAGAAACTGAATGCTTAAAATTAAATGCCTTCAAAATGAACAGCTTCCTTCTCGTGGCTCACCTCCTCTCAATCAGTGTAGCAGATCTCCATACACCTGTTTCCCAACTGAATCTCCAAACTTTTCCTCTTGAGATGTCCATCTTCCCTTGGTTGCATCCTCGGGCTCGCGGGTCCCCTTCCACACTTCCTAGTGCAACCTGGGATCCACCTGTCTCCACCATCTGTCCCTATCAAATACAACACACTCGGAGCGACCGCGCTGCCACTTAGACGACCTGTGGGCACTGCAGACACCCACTGCGCATATGCGGAAATCGGTCGCACCGCAAAGAAGTCAGACAAGTGAGGAGTTGCCTCGGAGTTTCCGTCCGGGTCTGGGAAGCCACCCGCTGCCGGGAAGTCAGGAACGACCAACCGGAAGCAGACCTCGAGCGCGAGGATTTCTGGGACAAGTAGTCGCGGCGCTCGCTCGGCCCTGTCCTGAGCAAGCCCTAGATATTCAAGGTCTGCACGTCTCACACTCCCAGCCCTGCGCTTCCCTAGGTGTTCTCTCCGGTGGCGGAACCCTTGCAGAGTGGACCGGGCGACTTCTTGCTCCCACAAGGCTGCGCGACCCGCCGCGGCTGCCGGGAGTTGTAGTTTTCGCTGTGCGTCCTGCGTCCGCTGAGGGGGAGGGCGGAGCTGCCGGCGGCCCGGGCGGGCTGGCAGCTAGAGTGGGTGCGAGAGCTGCCTCCACCGCCGCCGCTGCCACCGCCTCCTCCGCCCGGGCCGTTCGCTGCTGAGCGGAGAAAGCGAGGCGGGGCCGCCGGGGCCGCCATGGAGCCCGACTCGGTGATTGAAGACAAGACCATCGAGCTCATGGTGAGTGCGGCCCACTGGCCTCCAGTTCTTCCGGCCGGCCGGCGGCCCGGGGGCCTGCCCACCTCGGCGTCCGCGCCAGGCCAGCCCTCGTTCCCCGCCGTCTGGGCCCGGCCGGCCCCCTGCTATGGCTCGTTGCTGACGCCTCCCGCTCTTGGGCTGGTCCGGCCTCCACTCCCCGCGCCCCCCCCCACCCCCATTGCCGGACTCCGGCCAGTCTCGGGCGCCCCTGCCTCGCTCCTGCCGGAGCCACTGCTCACTCTCGCCTTGCCATCACACTCTTTTTAGAAGGGGACTCCTTTTTCCCTTCTCTGAATTCCTCTAGCCAGGCCTGCATCGCGCTTCCCAGCCGGGCTCAAGCTGAGGGTGATGGTGGTGGGAGGGAGTCCGAGACCAGTTGGAGCCGCTTCGGCCTCCGTAACCTAGGCGCGGGGGGGTGGGGTGGGGGTGGGTCTCAGCATCCTCGCCCCAAGCTACCGCTGTGTGGATGCCAGGATAGGCCCCTCTGGACTGGGATGTTGGGGGTGCCTACGAATCTGAGACTGTACGGGACAAGGGGGCCTCTTTTCCGGGCCCCTGCGGTGTCAGGCTTCTTGGACAAAGGGTTTCCTACCCTGCCGTGAAGGATGTTTGTATAGCAAGGCCCTAGGTACTCTGAATTCCATCCCCCAGGAAAGGGAACCCTAACTTTATCATTTGGGAAATGAGAGGAGAGGGAGAAGAAGTCGCCCTCATCACTGCCATCCTGTCTTCTTTTAAAAGCGGGAGGGGGAGTTTCTTGGCCCACGGAGAAGCAGCGTATCCCTTTACTGTTAGAAACCATTGGTAGCCAGGCTGGTTAGGTCTCCCCCGGACACCCCTAACCCGTTTCTGACCTCAGACTTGGTGCTAGAAAGGTTTTTGGAAACCAGACTATGAGTGAATGGCTGGGAAAGTGAAGAATTTGCTCATTGGTGGAAGAAATAAAGTATGGCTGGTATTACCTGCCAATTTGAACGTGAGGGAAGTCATACTGGGCCCAGGAGAGTTGGGGAGGAAATCAGCTTCTGCAAATGGACATACAAAGGGCTTCTTCCTGTGAAAACCTTGATAGTTTCTTTGTATCTCTACTAATATAGTAACAACTAGTGTCTGCTCCACAGTATTGAGGAAAGGTGAAAGATCTGCTGAACTTAGCAAGATGTTTTCCTCGTCAGAGTTTCTCCAGTTTGAAATGCTTATTGAGTCAGTGATTCCACTGGGTAGGGTTGGTGACATCAGAGCCACTTCCCCCATTTAATGCTATAAATAATAAATGGTGATACTGAAAGTCTGTTGGATAGCCTCATGGTTTCTGTGGATGATGTTATTCAGGGAGCTGAGGTACACATTTTAAAATGGAAGTATAGTAGCATAAATACAGAGTCTCATGTCTGCTGGACTCTGCACAATGTGCAGAGCTGGATTGTTGAAAATTAAACCTGGAAGTTTCTGGTGTGTGTGTGTTCAAAGGGATTCTATCAATTTATCTTCCGGTTCTGAGGACTTTTTCCTTTCTTTCAGCATCCAATTGTTGGTTATAACAGTTTGGGGGACTTTCAGAGTGGGTTATTTTGACAAAATGTCTTTAAAAGGTTATTTATGTATTATTGTGTATTCACACATGCACCACAGTGGGCATGTGGAGGTCAGAGGACAACTTTGTAAAGTTTCTCTCCTGCTTTTATATGGGTTCTGGGACTTGAACTCATTTTGTTCAGCATGTATGATCAAGTGCCTTTGGCTGAGCCGTCCTGATGGCCTCTATTTTGGCAAAGTGTCTTCATACATGTTGTTCCTCCTCCAACTCCTCCTCCTTTTTTTTTTCTTTTTCTTTTTTTTTTCTTTTTTCTTTTTTTTTTTTTTTTGAGACAGGGTTTCTCTGTGTAGCCCTGGCTGTCCTGGAACTCACTCTGTAGACCAGGCTGGCCTTGAACTCAGAAATCCGCCTGTCTTTGTCTCCCACGTGCTGGGATTAAAGGCGTGTTCTACCACTGCCTGGCATGTTCCATCTTCTTAAAGATAAACAATATATCTGCTTTCATCATGACCAGTGCTTCATACTGAAACACATTCACTTGAAACAACCAAAATGTCTTCTTTTTCAAAAGAGTTAGAAGAAATACAGTGTAACTAACTTCAGGCATGTTTTTTTAGCATATTACTAAAGAAATTACTAACTAAGTAACATTTACTAAGTGTGTAAATGTTACACACATTTACTAAGTGTGTAAGCTTATAACTAAAAAAAAGTTTTGTTTTGAGTGCTGGGTTGCATCTCAGTGGTAGAGCACATGTGTCCATAAAATCCTGATGGATGGTTTAGACTTTGTATGATAATATTTGCCATTAAACTGAAGATATGTCACCTAATGAAGACATAAAAGGGGTTTAATGTAGGATTCCTAGAAATGTAATTAAAAAAAAATGTGCCAGGAATGGTGGCACATGTTTTTAATCCCAGTACTCAGGAAGCAGAGACAGGTTAATCTCTGTGAATTCAAGGTCAGCCTGATATTCAAAGTGAGTTCCAGGACAGGTAGAACTACACAGAGAAAGCCCTGTCCCCCAAACCCTAACAAACACTCTCTCCCCCCAAAAAAACCAAACAAAATTTCTTTCTCAAAAAACCTAAACAAACAAAAATTGTAGTAACTAGGCTTCCATTGCTAGATCCGATTTACTGTGTTTATGGATATGGCATGTTACTTGAGTCATTTATAAGGTGTGTAGCTACAGTTTTTCCAAATCGTTGATGCCTAGTTTTCATTGTGGTTGGTTTCAATTATGATCAACATATCCTATTGTGTTATAGTTTAAAATGTTTGGGAATGACTTCATATTGGTTGTGGAATACCAGTAGTGAAGACTACACCAATTTATTATAGCATACACTTGGCTTCTGTCCCTAGCTAGCCTAGGGGATAGTTGGAGGAGAAAGATGGTGACAGCAGAAAGTGAAGTTTTAAAATCCAGTTGTTGTCTTTGTGACTACTTGAGGCCTTGTCTACGAAAGGTGCGTCTGTCCTGGCATTCTGTGTCTAGGACTCTGACCTTAACAGAAACCTTACAAGGGCTCTCTGTTTCCCCACTTTCTCCTTTCTCACCTCAGTCCTTCTTCACTCCTCCCTCTTCTTATCAGTCTGCCTCCCCTCTCTCTTCTTAACACCAGCTTCTCTTTTTCTCCAGCTCCCTGTTCTCTTGCAGGGTCTGGTGTAGCCCAGGATGGCCTGGAACTTTGTAGCTAAAGCTGGCCTTGAACTTGCAATCTCTTTCCTCACCAAGTGCTGGGATTACGGGTTTGTGCCACCGTACTCAGCAAGGTAGTAAATGAACTCTTGAAAGAGACAATGAATTTATAGTTGCTGACAGAGAATAATTTAATTGTCCTGTGGCTTTCATGGCTTTACTGGCCTAGTGCTGGGACAACTTTATGGACCTGTTTTCTAAACTTCCCTGTAACAATCAACTTTATTATGAGTGAGATAGAACAGCAGTGATCCATTTTGGAAATTTTCAGAGCTCCCCAGGCTGTGTGTCTGGTTTGGCGGATTTCAGTGGAAAAAATGCAAACTGCAGTGTGCATCACATTGAGTTGGGAGCAGGAGCTGATGGACAGGCATTCCTTAGGAAGCTGCAGACGGACAGACAGGTGGCTAGTTCCTCCCATGAAAAGACAGCGAAGAGCTGCAACAGTTTAAGGACACAGCCCAACAGGCAAGCCACCAAGTACTAAGTTTTATTCTCTAGGACTCACGTAGAAGAAGGAGAGAAGGAATCTCTGGAAAGCCATCCCGTCCCAGCAAATAAGAAAATGTAATTTTAAAGAAGTTTCAGGGGTTGTGGTGGCACACGCCTTTAATCCCAGCACTTGGGAGACAGAGGCAGGTGGATTTCTGAGTTCGAGGCCAGCCTGGTCTACAGAGTGAGTTCCAGGACAGCCAGGGCTATACAGAGAAACCCTGTCTCGAAAGAAACCAAAAAGAAAAAAAAAGAAAAAGGAAAAAAAAAGAAACCGTGCAGGTAAATTATTGTTTGTCTTTCTCTTTTCTTTTTGGTTCAGTTTTTCCCATTCCCCTCCTGTCTTGGGCTTCATGCGGCAGGTAGGATTGTTTAGTGAGTCTCCAGACACTGGGTGTCTGTCCTTTAAGTAGAGAGCTAGCTCAGGATACTCCCTAGGCCACTGACACAGAGTCCTAGACCCACACACATGTGTCGTTTGGGTAGTGCTGTTGGAACTATGAGTTCTAGAGCTGTTTGTAAGGACTCTGGGATCCTGGGGAGAACGCATCTCGAGGCCTGCTGACTCTACTTTCCATCCCTCTTCCGGTCTATCTCCCCTCTGCCACTTTCTTGCCCTCTTTGAACCTGCCTCTCTTTGCCATTTCTTCCCGATTTCTTTTCTGTGTTCCAGGAAGAGTTGGGGGACCGTGGCCCTGCATATTCTTGTCACACTTTCTGTTGTCAGCACTGGTCTAGACTGCCATGAGTACATTTATTGAAGGCTGCTGTGGGGTTTTTTTGGTTTGTTTTTTCTGGTTTTTCGAGACAGGGTTTCTCCCAAGTGCTGGGATTAAAGGCGTGCGCCACCACGGTGGCGAAGGCTGCTGTTTACTAAAGGTTTTCATCCTTGAGCAGCCTCTGGCCAGACTGGCTTAGGTCACATCTCAG